GGTGGTGGTGATGATGATAACAATAATGATGGTGGTGGTGGGAAAGGGATTGGAGTCAGGGTAGTGACGGTCCTCCCCTGTTCGCCTGCCTTTGGGGAAGGCTTGGTCTGCAGCACATCGGGTGCAGGTGAAGAAGCGTTTGCTGGTGTGCATGGTTAGGTACTGGTGTATTTTTGGTACATACCAACATCGTTACACTGGCAAGCCTCGGAGGGAGAGAGGTTGTTAGAGCTGGAATTCTCCCCAGTGAGTCAAAATCTTTCCACCCCACCTGCTTCCCATCCCATTTTTCCACCAAAGTGCTCCCCCTTAGAGGTTTCCCTTCTTCCCTTGTATATTTGGAGCAGCAGTTGACTGCCAAGGGTTAACGGAACTGGAACAACACTCCATCCATTCCCTTGTTCTCCCCACAATTACACTAAGGATTCTCCTTGGTCCTATTTGTATGGTTCTGAAAAACTGTGAGAATTCGAGTGCAAGGCACCTCTATTTATTTCAATACAGTTGTCTGTGTCTGGAATAGGGGGGTGGTTAGATGCCTGCATTGTGAGTGAACTAATTTGCCAAGCTGGATTGCTCCCCTTCTGATCCAAAGATATTAAAAGCAATTCGTAAATTGCAACAATATTGTTACAAACAAAGGTGATCACATGTGCTCCTTGGCACAACTGGGGTATCCCCATGGGTTTTCCCAGGTTCTTGGTATTTGAGTGCTTATTGAGTGAGGAGGTGACAGAGAAATCTTATCACCTGATGCAGACATGAAGATAGAAAAAACCCATTGCTCAGTCATGATGCCATCTTAAAGCAAAGTTTCAAGACCTTATTCATGTGACTATCTTCCAAAAGTGCATAGTCCTAAAATAGCATACAGAGGCCAGAATGGAGGAGGAATATATTTGTTAGAGGCACATGATTAGGAGATACATGCAAATGTGGCTTGCTGTATTTTTCTTTAGTACTTTTTTTTTTGCTTAGGTACTCTGTACATTTCCATGTTCAAAGCACTGTTTGTTTTTTGTTGTATTCCAAACCCTCTGGGAAGGGACATTATAGTTGATGTGTTACATGCAGTATATGATTTGCAAGAAATAAAAGATGAATACTAGAGTGTGCATGAATAATTTGTTTCTCTTTGACTCTTATATCTGTACACTTGTTGCTTAAATAAAGAAAAGCAGCAACCTTAAATATTGGTATGTTTTTTTAAAAAATTGAAACCTTATTCAGCTACTGATTATCAGTGTACTATACCGTACTAACCTAGATGAAACAACAGTCTCTCTTGGTATAAGACGGCTGCCTGGGCTGAAATCACAGATGCTTGATTCTTCAGAAGTAAATATATTACACAGTGCTTTAAATTATGCGTATAGAAGGCAAATACTTGATAAATACTGTACTGTGTATTCATGCCAACCATCAGGTGTTCTACCATTTTTTTCAAGAGAAGACATTCTGCATAAGCATATATAGCTAGATCAGACCAAGGGGCATCCTAATGTGATAATTTTGTCTGATAGTTTATATGGCTGGGCTTTTTGTAAATAGGACCCATTTATTGCTCAGATGTTGGGGGAAACAGAAGTATGCTGCCTATGAGTATCAAGGATGATTATGTAGTACTATTATGAATTTGTCAATTCTTTAAAAATCTGTATAGGTAATGAGCACAACTGCATCAGGTGCAGGCCCGAAAAACCCACAACAACCAATACTAATACCCTCAAGTCAATTCTGACTTAGTGCAAATCATCTCAGGATTTTCTAAGTACAGAGTACTCAAAAGTAGTTTATAAGGGCCTTCATCCGGGGGCGCCCTGGGACTATGCAGCTTGCTGGAGGCCACACAAGCTGGCTCTTCTACAAGGCAGTATGGAACTGAATTCCCAACCTCCGGCTTCAGTACTGAATTCTCTGACCTTTATAGCCAGCCATTTAGTATTTCAGAAGCCCTGTTTTGGATCCATTAACAGGGCTCTGTGGGCAAGCTGTACCTTCTCCTAGTATGCAAAGTACGTAGTCTCGTTTCAGGGTATGAAAGAAACATACCTCTCCTTTAAGCTCTATTTTAATTCGTCAGGTAGCTTAGCTTTTGTTTAATTTGTTTGCTATAATTCTTACGATCGTAGCTTTAGTTACTCTTAAAGCAGAGCATCCTTGCTGAACAACATTAAACTAGCCCTCCTTTGAAAACAGCATATACTGTAATAGTAAATCAATAGATAATGACAGTAGCAAAACCTGATCGGGTAAAAAAAAATCCTATACAAAACACAACATAGTTGGGAGGAGGAGGAGGAGGACTAGGGCCGAAGGGGGCGTGGCAACACAATTCCGCGCCCTCCGGGTTCCCTAGGTGACGTAAAAGAAAGGGGAGTCGCGTGATGATGTCAGGGTGTTTCCCGGTGACGTTCCCCGCGCATGCGCCCTGGCAACGCGGCGATTCTGGGTGACGTCACGCTCGGGGTGTGACGTTGGCCGCCGCTGGTGGCCTGAAGGCTCTAGTAGTGGTATTTGGTGGCTCTTCTGCCTCGTCTTTCTTCTCCCCTCGCCCCGCCCTCTTCCTCCGCTACGGGTCGCGGTTGGGGGCGGCCGGGTCGTCAAGGGCGACACGGCTCCCCCTCCCCATCTCGCTCCTTCTCCTCCTCCTCCTTCCCCCTCCTGGTCCCCTCCTCAACGCTTTGGTCCAAGATGGCGGCGCTGAGCAGCGGCGGCAGCGGCGAGGGGGCCTCGCTCTTCAACGGGGACATGGAGCCCGAGCCGCCGCCGCCGCCCGGGGCCTGCTACGCGGGAGGCAGCGGCGGCGGCGCGGGAGGAGACTCCGCCATCCCTGAGGAGGTGAGGGTGGCGGAC